TCTAGATCGTTTTTCCAGTGAAATGTCTTTATGTTGTGTTTTTTTTAATTTTTAAAAACATTTTGCTTTCTAGTCCATCAGATATTGGTGATTAAAGAAGATCTCATTGATGGGAGCTCCAGTGTGGACCAGCAGGAGCAAGAAGTCTCTGAAATAAAACAGGAAAAGGAGGAGCTGTGGATCAGTCAGGAGGAAAATCAGCTTAGTGATGAAAAGCCACCTCCGTCATCAAAGATTCAACCAATCAAAACTGAAGAGAACATAGAGACGGAAGTTTCAACCAGCCATTCAGCTGAATCTGTTGGAGAGGACTGTGGAGGACCAGAACCAGACAGGAACCCTGTGTCATTATTTTCTTCCCAACACAGTAAGATAGTGGTTCACAGAAGACCTGAAACATATAAACTAACTGCTAACCTTACAGCTCAGAGTGAAGGCCAACATGAAGAGAAACCATTTGGTTGCAATCTTTGTGGCAAAAGATTTAAACTCAAACACTCTGTAAAATTACATATGATGATTCACAGCGGAAAGAAAGAACATAGATGTGATATCTGTTCTAAAGAATTTTTGGAAAAGCGTTCTCTTCAGACACACATGAGAGTCCATACTGGGGAGAGGCCATTTTCCTGTGACGTTTGTGGTTCAAGATACACACTTAAGACATCCCTTAAAAAGCACATGAGTATTCACTCCAGACAAAAAAAACTAGTTTGTTCTATTTGTAGTAAAGAGTTTGCACAACAGCAAAATCTAAAGAAGCATATGCATGCTCACACAGGACAGAAACCATTTATTTGTGGTATTTGTAGCAAAGGGTTTTCATTTTCACACAGTTTAAAGTGTCACATGCGAGTTCACACAGGAGAGAAACCCTTTATTTGTTGCATTTGTGCTAAAGGATTTTCACTCGCATTCCGTCTAAAACTGCACATGCTTGTTCACACGGGAGAGAAACCTTTCACTTGTGTTGTTTGTAGTAAAAGATTTTCACAGAAAGTTAAACTAACGAAGCACATGCGGGTTCACACGGGAGAGAAACCCTACATTTGTAGCATTTGTAGCAAACAGTTTTCACAGCACTGGAATCTAAAGAGACACATGTTTGTCCATACAGGGGAGAAACCTTATATTTGTAGTGTGTGTAGTAAAAGATTTGTACAACATTTAGACCTGAAGAGGCACATGTGTGTTCACATGGGAGAATCCTTATGATTGCATAAAAACAAAATAAATATGTTGTTTACAAAAGGTTATATAGATGATATTTTTTCCTGGTGAAGTACTAATTAGATATTTCATAAAATAGGATGAGGATGGTTGTTTTATTCAATAACTGCTTCTGTCACCACGGCTAGAGATTTATCATGAAGTACAGGTTCTGTAGCTTGTAGTAAATTGTTTATATTAAATTCAGAACGCCAACTTCTCTGCCCTTTGAGCTTTAAATTATGCGATTAAGGATGCAGAAAGACTGGATAATTCTGAACTGAAGACAGGCTTGTTTTTTTTTTTTTTTTTTTTTTTTTTTTTACCTGTTGAAAGAAAAGTTTTCATAAAACTGTTTTGAATAAGCTCTGAGTATTTGAAATACAACCTGATCAAAAGAAGTGCATTCTTTTCAAAGTGGTATTAGTCATTCTCTTTTTTTCATCAAATGAGTTAGCAAACCTGAGTTAAGCTAAATTATTTGCTAATAATCGTTTATCGTTTTTAATCTTTGTAATGTTTTTCTCTACAAAAGAATAATACTGGTTTTCGTAGTAGTTGACTGCTTTATGTGTATAGTATCTTTATTCAGAGACATGCTGAAATAGCAGTTATAGAGGATACTTGGATGTTGATCCTTTGTTGAGAGATGTCCAGTCACTGGGAGTTTGGACATCTATATTAATGAAAGGTATTGTATGATTGTGGTTAAATTTAATGTTCAGTAAATTATTAAATTGCTAGAAATATTTAACTACTGTTTTCTAATGTTATTTTTTAAATAAACCATACGCTTTTTTAAAGCTATTTAAAAAAACAAAAACATTCTGTTGTGAAAAACAGTACTTCTGATACTTCTGATTGATATAAACATGTCAGCATGATGCAACATGATTGTCGTCCTAAAAATTATGTTTGAAAACAATTTTTAAAAATGAATGATTTGCATAAACATTGTAATTAGATGACTGATGTTGAAATAAAGAAATATAAACACACCCTGGCTCATTATTAATACATCTGTAAGGACAATTACATTTGCAAAAGACTTTTAAAAAGTAAATTACTAATAAAATTTCAAGCAGGAAATTGTGAAAAATGTTCTATTATTTTTAGGGTGCACCCTAAATAGATAGTGATGCAGTTGTTTTTGTTTTCTTAATCCTAAGCAGAGAAGTAACGCTAGTAGTGTGGTCAGTGACCAAGTGGTAGAAAAATCCAACGTTGATGTCCTTTAAGCTGCTCCTTTCCTTTCCCCTTTCTGATGCAACTGTGATTCAAACCAGGGTCCTCCAGTTAAACCACATATCCGTATCCTTGCATCTGTGTTTTATTTTTTTTCTTTCCTGTTTGTTTTTCATGATACTAGAAGAGATTCTATTAACACAATAAATTGACCATGGTCTGGCAAAATCAGATTCTACACTACAGATTAGGTTAAGCACAAAGTACTGAATAGAAGTTACCATTTTTCCTTTTATTGAAACCATTAAGAGGTTCCTGGATGGGGGTGGTAACTGTGGTTTATGACCTAATGCCTTTTGCACTGCCTTTAATTTTCTAAAGAACATTATGGATTGTTTTTTATCCATACATCTGATTAGAGACCAGGTTGTCAAATTCAATGAGAAAAAGTCATCTTTGAAGAACAAATTGGAGTAGGCCCACCCCAAGGTTAAGTACTTGATCCATTTTGTGTGGTCTTTGTTTAGAGAGGGTTTTCCTTTAAATTGCTTAGCAGCCAGTTACCAGCTTTATGCAGATTATTATAAAGTTATAAAAACTCCTGCCAAAAACATATTAAGGTTTTAACTACATGTTTGGATTATGTCCACAATTTGTTTCTAATGTACATAAAATTTTGTATTTTTTCCCCCTGAATTATACAATTTTGAGCATATGCATTGTGAAGTACAACCAGACATGTTTTATCTCTGTATATACATGCTCTAAAATATCCTGGATAAAAATCCTGTTATTAAGAATGACTGTTATATATTTTTAAGGCGTTATTTCCTATTTTCTTGCATTCACTGAATATTCGCACAGTTTAGCCCTCTTGGGAGTGTTTGTTAAATTCAAAAATAAAAATACAGCGGCTGTGGAGCATTTGTAAAATGCCAAATAAAAGAGCCTTCTTGTTTTGTTTTGGGTTTTTTTTTCATGAGGATTTAATAGCTCAATTAAATAAATTTCTTAGGTAAAAATAAAATTAAACCACTCTACAAATGACAAATAATAACTTTAAAAAAGTAAGTTAAATATTATATATTTGTAGTTTATAGCGATATATTATAAATATATCGCTATAAACGTTTGTTGAAGTTTGTATTTTCTTCTTTTATTGTGAAATGCCTACGTTCCAAACAGGAAGTAGAGTTTTCACCGGATGTGACTGGTTGTTATCAAATTAGCTTGACTAGCTAAATCCCAATAGAAAAAAATCTTATTTTGAATAAGACAAATGTATAATTTATGTCTTAGACTTGTTCGTAAGGTTATCTCTTCTCGATATTTACGTCAAACCTCATTAATTGAACCGAAGCTTGCTTTACAAAAGGTTGTTGCTTTCAGTATCAAAGTGAATGGACTGTTAGCCACAGTGGAGCTAAAGCAGCTAACGCCAGAGACTAATCAATGTTTCAGACGTTGAAGCTTTCAGAAGTGTGTTTTAGTGTTACGAGATCACACTTGGAGTCTGTGAGACTGCGGGGAAGATGACGGCGACTGTGGACATGTCTTGTTTAGCCGTGGAATCAAAGATTGAGATCATTAATGGACAGAAGTTCTGACCCAGTATCACACTTTACATGTTCTCTTAAGATTTATTATTATTTTTTTGTAGGGAAAGATGTTACTTAAGCATGTGAAGGTTATGAACCAGGAGAAGCTCAAGTGGAGCCAGAATCTTTGAAATCATGGAGGCTGACAACCCTGGAGGGCTCAGTTTGGTGTCCCCCTTACTTGCAACATCCTCATCAGAACTGGAGGATAAACAAGACAATCAAGATCTCAGTAGGTGGCTTATTTGTTTGTGTTGATCTAGAACCTTTATTGTTATTTTAAACCCACAAGGTCATTCACAGAGACTCACAGCTTCCATTATATGATAAAAATGCAAAACATAATAGCACCAGGGTTTGCACCAAAGTGTGGGCTTAAGTAAATAAAAAAGAAAAGAAAAATCCTTGAATCAGTACCCACAAGTGGTAAATAACTTTGAGGTTGTTGCAGTTAAGGTAGAGTACACCCTGGAGTTTGAACTAGTCTAGTAGTGGTAGTATTAGGGGTGCACAGATCAATCAGCCAGTAGATATTTTTGGGTGTTTGATTTGTAAACAATGTTATCTACCTTTGCAAAGATATGAAAATTAGCCACTGTCACCTCAATTCTCTAAATGTTTCTTTAATTGTATTGTTTTGTGGGTACTTCTCAGTATTTCTCAATAAAAATGAACATTGAAGGTGTATTGTTAACTTAAAACACCTGTCAATTATTGATAAGGCTGACATATTTCCCTGACCAACATTGTTATGTTAATTTGTCGATACTAAATTAATTTTCACACAATTAGTATTTCTATTGTTAGATAAAACATGGGAATCTCTAAATATATATTCATTTCAATGCTGCTCTTGTTAAATGTCTTCTCAAAAGCAGTGTTCACTTTTTAAAATCATTATTTCCTGATGTAATTTGCCATAAAACATTATTGTTTATGTTTTCCTCAGTGTTCCCTGACCTTCACATTGTGGTTGTTAAAGAAGAACGTCGCGATCTATGGAGCTCCAACTCAGACCAGCAGGACCCAGAGCCCTTTGATGTAAAGGAGGAGGAGGAGGAACACTGTATCAGCCTGAAGGAAGATCGGCCTGTTGTGAAGATTGAAGAAGAAGAGAAACCTCAGTTATCAAAACTTTGTGACATCAAAACAGAATATGAGAGAGAGACAGAAGCTCCAACAAGCAGCTCAGCAGTGGAGAAAGAAATAGAAACTAACAGAGATGACTGTGGGGGGGCAGAACCAGGTAGCAACCCTGATCCAGAGTTTTCTTCCCAACAAAGTAAGATGACTATTTTCAAGAGAGGTAAAGGATCTAAAATGAGTTTTAAGCGAAATACTCAGATTGGAGAAAGGCCATTTGGTTGCAGTGTCTGTGGCAAAAGATTCAAATGTAAGATTCATGTCGAGTTTCACATGAAGACTCACACTGCAAAGAGAGATCATAACTGTGACTTTTGTGGTAAAGGATTTCAAGACGACCATTCTCTGCAGACTCATGTGAGAGTCCACACTGGAGAGAAACCTTTTGCCTGTAATGATTGTGGCAAAAGGTTTCATGCAAAGAATATTCTTAACAGTCACATGAAAGTCCATTCGGACGAAACTTTTCCTTGTGATGTTTGTTGCACAGTATTTAAAAGAAAGGAAAGTCTGAAAAAGCACATGTGGACCCACACTTCACAGAGACCGTTTGTTTGCAGTGTTTGTAGTAAAGGGTTTTTGAAACAAGATCATCTAAAGGGTCATATGCGTATTCACACAGGGGAGAAATCATTCATCTGTAGTTTCTGCAGTAAAGGATTTTCACTGCAACACAATCTAAAAAGACACATGCTTGTTCACACAGGAGAGAAACCTTTGGTTTGTAGCGTTTGCAGTAAAGGATTTTCGCAACATTTAGATCTGAAGAGACACATGCGTGTTCACACAGGAGAGAAACCCTTTAGCTGTTCTGTCTGTGGTAAAGAATTTTCAAATCCTGGAGGTCTGAAGAAACATATGAATTTTCACACTGCACCGTTTAGCTGTAGCGACTGTAGTAAACATTTTGTTGACAAACTGCAGTTGGAGCGACACGCGAGAGTTCACATAGAGGAGAGACCATTCGCTTGTAATATGTGTAAAAGTCGATTTAATCATAAATGTCACCTTAAAAAGCACATGAGAGTCCATTCAGGAGAGAAACCGTTTATTTGTGATGTTTGTAGCAAAGGGTTTACATTACAAGAGAATCTAAAGAGGCATATGCGTATTCACACAAGGGAAAAACCGTTTGTGTGCAACGTCTGCAATAAAGCTTTTTCACAGCACGGAAATCTAAAGAGACACATGGGTGTTCATGAGGCCTGCAACTCATGATCATTTTTGATTGTTTTCTTTTCTATCATTACTTTTCCAGCAGTCTTCTTGGAAGCTACTGTCCTACATTTGTTTAGATGCTCACCTGCCCAAACTCACCTGAACCTGAATGATGTGCTGAATTTTCTGTTTTGGGTATTGAGGAGAATGGATATAACAAAAGGTTGTAGGACTGCAGCTCTTTGGGACTGGAATAGTTGACCTCCAGTCTACAGATTGGTATAAAATGTTTTCCCTAAAAATAATATTTAAAATAATTTTCAAAAAATTGTATGGTATCTAAAATGAATGATGAGTTACACAAAATCAAATCTTAATACCATTACTTGATCATTAAAAAGTACTAGTGTATATCAAGGTACAATGGGTTGTTTACCTTTCTTTTATTTTACTGTTAGCCTCGACATGTTATGCTGTGTCTGTTCAAACAGGGTTTTAATTATGTCCAACAAACACTTACAAGGTTGGAGTTCTGATGATTTAAACAGTCTGTTCGAGAGGTCATGGTTTCAAATCCCGGACGACACCCCATCTAATGTTGCAAAAATAAAGGGAAGTAACATCACACCCAATGTTGTAGGTGTAATGTCCTTTCTTTAAAAAAAATAAATCATTCCTTGCTTGAAAGCATGACTGATTCAAAAAAACAGCTGCAACACAAAGATTTGAAATTATATTTAATAAAAGTTTCTTTAGCCAAACACGAAAATCTTTTTACTTGGAAACAAAGCTTTTTCAACCTCCATAGTAACTAAACGAGTGTTGATAAGGTCAAAATGTTTTATAAATGTAGTCTGGTGCAAACTATATCCCATCATTTTCCGGCAAAATAGGTAGATCTGTTCATTCAACAGCAATATATACTGCTCTGAAAAATATGTGCATTTAATGTGTGACTCACTCATATATCAACTATTGTTACAGACGGTTTGTTCTGTAAATACTGGGTTGGGGAATTTAGATCCATGCTTACATTTCACTTCCCTCTAAGTGCTTTTTGTAATCTATATATAAATTCTTACATACACAAAGAAGCAACAGCAATTATTAGTATGAACAAGTGTATGCAAATGATGTGGCTACAGCTAAGAAGGGATTCAATTATTTTACTTCAAGCTAATTAATTTCAAAAACCAAAAACGTTCTGGTTGAAAAGCTGTAACCAAGACAATTGCCACAGTGCTTCTGTAACCAGGCTGTAGCATATGTTTTACTAATGGCTGGTGCTAAATGTGGGTTGTTAATTACCATTAATTTAGCAATCAGCTCTAAATGTTGCTCCTTCATACAGGCTATCATGTTAGCTGTTGTACAACCAAACTTTTTCCTCCAGAACGCTGCTGTCATTCTAATTGCAATAGCTTTTAAAGCACAAGTCAGGGATAAATGTGTGGGGCGCTTGACTCCTTCATTTAGCAATGAATCGGTAGATTTTGCTGCTAAACTCGGATGTGCGAGGGGAACAGTTGTGATGCTGCATCTGCTCACATCCCGAGCTCTCTAAAGATTTCATTGAGATTTAAAAAAAGCTATTTTATTATGCTGGTAAAATAAACGGACAGTTAGAAAAAAAATTTTTATTGATATTTTTTGCACACTTCTATATCATAGAGCATTATTAGCCTTTTTATATGTATTTTGTACTGTTGATTGCCTACTGAAATGATTCTGCTTCTGTTGAAATATAAATCTCTGCATGCAAAGAACTTTAATTAGTGTGAACCTTTTGACACAGAGCAGTTTTTTGTAAGGATGTGCTAAATAATGAATTATTGTTTTCTTTGTTTCTGTTTTAACATTTTATTATAATTTTTTTTTATTATTATTATTTATATTACTATTATTTGTTCTAAACATTTTAATTGTAAAAACTACACAACATTCTTCTGGGAATTAGTTGTGGATTTGCTTTTTTCCTTTCAGAAATCAGATAAAAAATAGGAATTTAAATGAAACAAAACTATTAAAGCGGTCTTACTTGTCAAACAGTTAAATTGTCTTTGATTATCTGGATGCTACAGCTCTCTTTGTCCACCTTTTTTTCTTCGTAATCACTGACTCAATGAGTGCCAAAATTCAACACCTTTATAAGCATGGGTGTTGTATGAAAATGTAGGTGCTATAATATAAAGTACTATAGTGGGGGCGTCTAAAGTTTGCCTCTTTTAATGTGCAAATAATCTAGAAATCTAAAATTAACAATAACAAAAATATGCAAACAACACCTGTATTTAATATCAATAATATGACAAATTAGTGTTTGAGTATCGATACTTTTCAAAGTATTGATACTTATGATAACTGAACTACACAGATGACATTTTCAGGTCTGCCTCTTCGGTTTTGATTGTTTTTCATCAGTTTTTTTTGTTTGGCTTTTTTTAATCATTTATCAAATTTATATTAGGATTATGTGTGAAAGTTTTAAACTGGTGCTATGTTTTTTTTTTGTTTGTTTTTTTTTTAGTTTGATCACATTATGCAGTATTGCTCTTGTGAATGAGAAAGTTCAGCTCCAAACTACAGCAAACTCCCACCCTAAAGAATAATTGAGATTTCAAATTTATCACCTGCCTATCAGGCTTTTTTTCCAGAAAAACAAACCGCTATGCTTTGTAGCTTGGTATGAGCTCTTTAAAAAAAATATTAAACAATGGGCTCTGTGCACAACTCCACTACTTCCTAAACTTAAGGGAGCTCTTTTGTTTCCTGTGTTCCATTACTGAATGAACTGACTAATACAGGTTTGTCTGGCAATGGTTTCTGAGGTCAAGCACACATGGATGAATCTGTTGATCTAGTAGAGAAAGACAGTAAGCAAAACAACCTTCTTAAGTTCAGAGAGTAGAGGAGTTGTGCATAGAACCCATTGTAGAAGCTGGGGAATTTTATCAAACTCAACTCTGAAAGAAGTCATTAAAATGCAAAATCAAGCACAGTTCCCAATACTTTGTCTTCTTATGTTAATAAGACAATTGTGCAGAGTAAAGGCTGGAGACCAGATATGGAAATATTTGGTTCTGCTTGCTAGGACATATTCCCTTCAGCTGTGTTTTTATAGTACAGTACAGTATTTTATTTGTTTATGTGTTTTAACTCTGTCACTTATTCTGTTTTTTTCATACTTTTTGAGGTCCACATTTCTGTGACCACTTTTCAAAATATTTTGCTGCTGTAACACCACAGTTTCCCCACTGTGGTAGAGTAAAGGGATTTTCTATTCTATTCTTAAACAAAGAGTTTAAAAGTTAAGCATAATAAATTAATAGGTAAAGTTTTACCCTCATAACATCCTTTTTTTTTTTTTACATTATGACTTTAATGTTATATGGAAATATTTGGTTCTGCTTGCTAGGAGTTATTCCCTTCAGGTGCTTTAACACCACAATTTCCCTTGTGGTACAGTAAAGGTTTAAACAAAGGTTTTTAAAGTTAAGCATAATAAATTAATAGGTAAAGTTTTACCCTCATAACATCCTTTTTTTTAACATTATGAGTTTTTATTCGTAATTATATGGGGGATAGCCAAAATGAAGGACTGAATTAGTTTGTTTACTTCTGGGGTGATGCATAAAGGTAATTATACTACCCAAACTAATTTAAGCAGCTTATTTATAGCTAATAGCAGAGCCCTTACATCAGCCAACAATAAAACAGATGTGCATTATTTGAAGTCTGCTCTGATATAAACAAACACTGTTCATTTAACCTGTACATTTATTTCTTCTTTTTTTTCTACTTGTTGGATTTACAAGTAGCTCCATAACCTACTGTTATGGAGTGTGGTTCGTAAAAAAAAAAAAAAAACAAAAAAAACTATACACACAAACAAACACACAGATATACATACTTATACATAACTTTGTAATCTACCCATCTATATATTTATTCTGGAAATCTAGAAGTTCAAAAAGCGGAAGTTCGTTTTTGCACAGCTGAGCTGTAGTTGTCGGTGATTGGTCAGCGAGGAGGAAGAAACCGGATGTAGAACTGTTAGCCGTTAGCTAGGCAGGTCCCGCTAGGAAAAACGTCCAAATGTTTATATTCATTAAGATTAAATTTGATGCCTTGTACTCTTTCGTCGTCCAGCTTCGTGAAGGCGGCGCTCTAACCTGTTTGTTTTGAGCCACTAAAATGATTCCAATTAGCCTACATTAGCAGACCGAATGTTGTGTTAGCCGTGGAGCTAAAGCAGCTGAGAGACGAGAAATATCCGTTTTTTGTTTTTAAAGGTTTAAGGTTTTGAAAGTTCATTTATTGATCCTCGTTCAGTCTCTATTGGGGACGTTACAGGGCTACTGACTAAGGATGTCTGAGAAAATAAAGGCAGAGGCAGAAGACCCTGGAGGGCTCAGTCAGGTGTCCCTCATAGCTGCAGCATCTCCAACAGAGCTGGAACAGAAACATGATAGCAAAGATATCAGTAAGTTATACATACTTGTCTACATTCCAGGTAACTAACTTTGGCTGGTAGCTACAACGGGCCAGCAGGACTTTTAAAAAAATGAATGTGTAAATTATATCCAGTAAATATGTCGCTGTTTACTTTTGCCTCTGGTGCCTTGAATAGTGTTTTATTGAAATTAAAAAACAGCATTTTGCTCTGTAACACTTTAAAATAATCTACCTATTAGATTGCATTGTCTTAGGATAATACAAGACTAAATTATGAATGATTTTTTTTTTCAGTATAACCTGACATCAGCCTATCAGACATGAATTCAGGATTTCTACAGGGTAGTAAAAGGTAGTGCTATGTGGGGAAAAATGAAAGGAGATCTATAGTAATTACCCAGTTGGAACTTTATTTGACTCTGCATAAACAAGAACAAGATAATAATAACAACCTTCACGGCTCCATGTTCTGCTCTAGAAACAGTTTTTCTAACTGACTTAAAGTCTGCAAAGAGCTATGAAGGTCCCTACATGCAGTTAATCTGAATAAGTTACAGAGGTGGACAGAAACAGTAAAATGTTGAGTAAACATTGAGTCTATTGGAGTCTGGCCTCTTTTCCAGACAAGAATCCTTAATAGAATTAAATAAATCAAAACACAACTTTCAACAATTCAAACAATCACACTACGGTATGTTTAACAAGTGTGAGGCACTAAATTTATCACTCCAGGTCTTTAGGTGGCTGTAAAACCCTTGAAGTGGGTTTGTTGCCACACAGTACGGTAAAGAGAATTGCAACTAGCATCAGATCCATTGATGATAGTAGGAGTAAGCACCTTTTTACCATAAAGATTATAGTAAAGTTCTGCAACAATGGACTTTGGGCAAGCATGCTTTTAAAATTAAAAGCCTGGGAAGAGCAAGCTTGGGGTTATTGCAAAGGAAAATCTAAATAAAACCGTAATTATATATATATATATATATATATATATATATTTATTTTTTTTTTTTTTTTTTTTTTTTGCAAAATCGTTCAGCCCTAGTAGTAAAAAAAGAAAAAAACCTCTCACCCAGGCAGTATGTTTGAATTATAACCTATAAAACATAATATTTTACCTTAAAAGAATCTCATGTTTTCCTTCTGCAATTTCCACCTCTAGTCAAGCACACATACTTCCAATAATCAGGACAAAAGTAGTGTTGTAACTAGGGCTGCAACTAACGATTATTTTGAAAATCGATGAATCGGCCGATTATTTTTTCGATTAATCAATGAATCGGACACAAAATATTTTTTTATATTAACCTCTTTATTCCAAAATAAACATTTTAGACAGAACAAACAAGCACACAAGTACAGGTTTCTCATTAACTGTACTGGTGCAATATGAAAAATAAATGTTTGTGTTAAAACTACGCAAACTTACATGAGAAATGTAGCTGTACATCCACAAAATATAGGGTACTTTGTTTAAAAAAGCGCAAAAAGAGACAGGCATTTTTGTTTTTTAAAGCCCCTAAGGGGTTCAAACAATAGGCCCCCCATTTCAACAAATGAGTTTTTTTTAGACTAGAAGAGTTCTGCCTTTTAAGACAGGAAAGTATAGCAGTTAAAGTTGCTACTTGAGAAAATACTGAACCATAGAGATAAAAATAGCCCTGTGATTCAAATTATAAATTGTATTTGGAATAAAAATGAGAGAACTAGGGGTGGTAAAAAACACATCCTCCAAAGACAGATATTTACATGGAAATGTGGCATATAATTAATTGACATATTACTGATCTTGCTGGATTTTATTCTGCTTTACTTCCATAAATTGCAGGATCTTCTTTACTTTATCTTTGCCAGAAGATTTAAACTTTAAAAGCCTTGCCCTCATAATTTGCCAATTTATTTATTTATAAAGAAAATATAAACGCTGCTTAAGCTAATTCAAATGAAATTACAAGTAAAATAAGTAGCCAACCTTATCACTGTCTGTAACCTACTAACAAGCTAAGGAAAGTATCAGATGAGCTACCTGAGAAACTAACGTTACGTTTCCCCGCTTTAAAATGAAACAAACATGGTTACACATCCTGCTGATCAGCTCTCTTCACTGCCATTGAAGGCTCCAACGTGTTTTCTTTTCAGGTGCTGCGTCATAACAGTGGTGCTTCCGCGCCATGTTAATTTGTTTTTACAAAAGTTGCATGTTACGACTTTTTTCACTTTACAAAGCGCAGGCTATTTTAATTATTGTAATCAATTTGCGCCGTCAATCCCGGGGCATGCGCGCTTCATTTGCAGTCTGGACGCTGAGGGTAAACTCACTAAAATCCTGCGGCTCTGACTGCAGCGCTGAGAGGGATTCCTGTGGGAGAGGGAGAAAGGGGTTGGGATGGGGGACGCGCCCCACGGCAGCAGCTGCCGCTGGAGGACAAGAGTAGAAATGATACATGCTTTCACATAAGAGTCTCCAAAAGCCGCCAGTGACACCGTAAAAAGTCGCCAGATTTGTCGCTAGTCGCTTTTTAAAAAAATAGTCGCTGGAGGGGTCTGAAAAGTCGCTGAGTTGGCAACACTGCAACTGCGGCGCTGACTCGCTCCGCCATACTTTTTTTTTTCTTCCCCGGGATGACGGCGGCGGCGGATGACGCATTAATCGCGCGACACAACTAATCAATGATTAAATTCGTTGCCAACGCTTTTAAAAGTCGATTTTTATCGATTTTATCGATTCGTTGTTGCAGCCCTAGTTGTAACAAAGACAAAAAGTTAGCTGCATTTCACCTCAAAATACAGGTAATAGCATTTCAGAGTCTTAATTTCAAACTTTTCCAGAGGAAGGATACCCTATGCCGTGCAAAGCCTGAAGATGTGATACACTGATGTGTATACCCTATTAGATATTCCTAGCTAAAAGCCTGGTCCTTGATAACATCAAGTGCAGCCAAGGAAACAGGTCTAATTTTTTTCCTGGCTTTGAATAATCTCTTTTTCAGAGTTTTAATATTCAGATGTCTGTTTTTATAAGTATTTCACTTTGATAATTGCTTCTAATTCTGTGTAACATGATGGTTCTTTGATCCATTTCTGCAATTTTATTAGATAGATGCACTAAAGCATTTCTATACCCATCTGCATTTCTCTGTATTAAAAAGGTTTTGCTCTTGGAATACTGCTAAAGTTTTGGATATATGGCTGGTATTTCTAAAGATGTAGATGTGGTCTTTGTTCTCAGTCCAACAGATTGTTGTGATTAAAGAAGAGGTTCCCCATGACTGGAGCCCCAGTTCAGCTCAACAGGACCCCAGGCCCAAGGACATAAAAGATGAGAACAAAGTGTGGGTACGTGAGGATGAGGAGGGGCAGAGTGAGAACACAGAGGAACCTCAGTCGACTGAGCTTCATCAAACCAAAACTAAGGACAGCGGAGAGGCAGAAGCTTCAGGCAGCAGCTCAGCTACACAGATGAAAGCAGAACTTAATGGAGAGAAATGTGGAGTAGCAGAACCTGACATCGGTTCAGCTCAAACGGGTTCTACTCAACAAAGTAAGGGGTCTGTCCCTAAAAGAGGTAAAACATCTAAACTGAATTCAACGCTAATGGCTCAGGTTGGAGTCCATGGAGGAGAGAAGCCATTTGGTTGCAAGGTTTGTGGCAAACGCTTAAAACATTTGACTTCGATGAAGTTACACCTGATGTCACACAATGGAAATATAGAACATATCTGTGATTTTTGCGGAAAGGGATTTAAAGAAAAGAGTACTCTTCGGACACACATAAGACTCCACACTGGCGAGAAACCGTTTGCATGTGATAATTGTGGTCGAAGGTTTCATGAAAAAGCTAAACTTAAAACTCATCTAAAAGTCCATTCTGTTGAAAAACCTTTTTCTTGTGACATATGTGGCACCAGATTTAAACGAAAGGAAAATATAAAGAAGCACATGAGGATCCACACTGCAGAGAAACCCTTTGTTTGTAGTGTTTGTAGGAAAAGATTTTCACGACAAGAGACTCTAAAGAGACACTTACATGTTCACACAGGAGAGAAACATTTTTTTTGTGATGTTTGTAGTAAAGGATTTGCTCTAAAACATCATCTCAAAAACCACATGGAGGTTCACACAGCACCATTTAGTTGTAGCGACTGTAGTAAATGTTTTGTAAATGAAATGCAGTTAGAGCGACATGTAAAAGTCCACTCAGAAGAGAGACCGTTTGGATGTGACGTCTGTAAAACCAGATTTTATCAAAAGTGTCAGCTTGAAAATCACATGCGAGTCCATTCAGGAGAGAAACCCTTTGTGTGCACCGTTTGCACTAAAGCATTTTCTCGACTTGGAAATCTGAAGAAACACATGGAGGTTCACAGAAGCTTTAAGTAATAGTTATTTAGATCATAAACAAATATGTCAAATCAGTTGAAGGTGTTGTAGACCTGTGCATCTGTTTGGTTTGTCTTCTGCAGAAGCAAAAAACTTTCCCATTTTCTCTCTTGTAAATAACTAAACTGAAAGTATGAGTAAAATGAACTTTTTAGGATTACCTTATATAAGTGCTTTAAATGTTTAAAACTTGATGTTTGCTTTGTATGTAAGTAGCTTTATTAGGGCTGCAACAACGAATCGATAAAATCGATAAAAATCGACTTTTAAAAG